AACATAATATAACACATTGAGATACCACAGGTACAGCCAAAAAAATATTTCACTGTATATAGCAATCTTAAACACAGGAAACAAAACAATGAGAGACAGGTAATAAAGTAGAGTAAGAAAGTTTTTTAACTACTAATTAATATGTTTAAATTTATTCTAATTTCTATTATTAATTAGTAATAAATTTAATTTTATAAAAATTCATTCAAAAAAATAATTTGTAAAACGTAATGTAGCCTAAATTGGAATGTTTCTTCGTAAAATTGAAAATAGGAATTTAATTAATAACTTTTGTAGCTATAGTGAAAAAATAGAGTGGTTTGCATTAATAAGACATAACTGGTTGATGACTGTACCAACTCAGTCAACCGTGACCATGGGACTGTAAAAGGACCGAAACGTTAGTTTGTTTGAAAAAACAAATATACCTATGCGATTTAAATCCGGAAAAATAGTTGTCGCGATCGCGAAAACCTAAGAACTCGCATACAGCTTCCGCGTACTTGGATGATAAAAATCCGTGGTAGTGACCAGTTTAGCTCCAGGTTGTCGTTATATATTAATTTGAAATAATTATTGCAAATGATAAATGTGTACAAACATCTATATATCTAGAGCAACCCCTAGAATTTCTTGACCATTTTTCTCAGGGGAATCTGCCTTACGAACCAGCAGTAGAGTTTAATCACTATGACGATTTCAAGTGTAAATAGAGATTAGAGGTTGGCACATAGTCGTGGATCGATTCAGTCTAAGAATTTTTTCGAAAACTGTTCAATAACCTTGCTAAACCATGTTTACACTTTCACATCGGAAGCGGTAGTCACCGTGACGTCAAAATATGGCCGCCAGTCATCACCAATCAGCGTTTTTCGTTCAAACATCGAACATGTTCGGTTTTTAAAACGCTGATGCAGCACCTTGTCATTGGCTGTCTCAATATATTTGTCAGTGGTTACAATTATGTTATTTTAGAAGAGATCCGAGTATAGGAGTAGGATGTATGTTAGTTAGAAGAATACTATGTAGCTCTAGAAACTGTCTAAGCGAAACTTAGATTTCCAGTATAAGCCAGTACGACCGAGACAACAAAAAGATGGAGCAACTTGGATCCTGGTACGTGACGAAAAGTGACGATAAGGTGGAGCATACACACCTAAATAATACTTATTCTATCCCGCTTTGAAAAGGCCCAAGTTAAAGCGTTCAGGAAACAAAATGAGGACAGGGAATTCCACTCCATAGCCGTTCGCCATGTACATGTGGAAGCGTAACGCGTCGTGAGAATCTATGGAATATTTACAACATAGGGGTGATCCTAGCTTACGTCCAATCCCCCAACGATGGAAAGGGCAAGGCGAAACTAAATCGTGCAATTTCATCGCACACTCTCCGTGATACATCCTGTAGAATAGCGATAAGCAGGTAACTTTACAGCGGTGTTTAAGACCCTGCTTTGGTTGTACTAAATGCGATCCAAATACCGCAGTCCAGAAGGACCTAACGGACCTTGGTACTGATGATAATCAGGATCAAGCTCAAGATGAAGAGGAATCTGGTGGCAGTAAGCCTAAATATCATGAAGTCTCTGACATACTCATTCATAACGCAGATTACCCTGAGAAGAATGAGCAAGGCACTCTAAGGGTTGCTCTTTGTAAAAATATCTTTAATAGATACAATCTGAAAGAGTTAAATGGGTCACCATCATGGATTTGGTTGTCAAAGTATGCAGAAGTTGTATATAGTCGCCTCAATTTTTGAAATTAAATTTCATAGGGTCATTAGAAGAACTTAGTTCTGTAAAACTCCGCTAAATATTATTAGTAGCAGTAGAGCTTCTTGTGAAAGAGTTCGTCCAGGAAAGTACTCCCATCTTACCTATTTCTGCCACTGAGCAGTAATGTGAGCATTACTGCTGCTGTGTCAAAAGATACATTACATATAATAATGTTTTTTTTATATCAAATAGTTTTCAAATGGCATTAATTTCGTTCGTAAAAAAAATAATTCTGAAACAAAGCCAGTGTCCCTTCCGCTAGACCCAAGCAAAATAAAAAAAAACCGTATTAGTACGGGAAGTTTTTGTCATAACTAAGACATGTACGATTATCTTACACAGCTTTCAAAAGCTTACATTCTCCATTAATTGTCGAATGTCTTTCATAATTTGACACGAGGTACAACTCTTCGTTACGTTATTCTGAAAAATCTGCCAAATATCAGTTCCGGTAATTAGGCAGAGGGCGATATTAGTGTACCTTGGAGTGGGCCTTACCGTGTCAAACCTGTTCCGTATTTGGGAGTGTTTAAAACGAAAGCGCTGATAGATGATGACGTGGCGGCCATGTTGTGACGTCATCGTGACGCGGTATGGTCAAAACGGAGTTCAAGGCAGTCTATTGTTGCAGCGCTTTGATAATGGCCAAAGTTCTCAACTATCATTTTGTTTTTCACAACTATATCAATGCCTATATTACTATTAGAACGCAATGTAGTTTTTTTTGGTACAAGTGTTTAGGAGAATCGTAATTTCAAAAATCACAAATTTACGTATACGTTTCTATAATAAGATACCGAATGATATATAAAATGACATGTAAAACCATATTAAAACAAAAACCTTAGGTATACTGAATATTATAACACTGTTACTTCGTACTTTAGTTGTTTTAACCGACTTCAAAAAAAGGAGGAGGTTCTGAATTCGTCTGTATTTTCTTTTGTATGTATGTTACGCGTTAAGTCCGGCCATTTGTGAACCGATTTTGATCATCCTTTTTTTGTTGGAAAGAGGGTCGCATTCACTATCCTACATACCGCAGTATTGGTCGCATTTAAATTAGAAGAAAATATTCCACGTCTAACCAATTCCAGGAACTTGTGAGGTTGGTTTTTTCGTACTATGTGCTGAGATTGTTATCTAACGTCGGGATAGCACAATTACGCGTAACTAGCAATTAATTATGAGTCTCTATTTCGGTAATTTAGTGGCCCAATCAAATCCACGTACATGTCTATTCTATAATCTATTGTTATCAGTCCATAGATAACATAAATGAATGATACGATTCACACAGCACCGCGGCCTGCGACGGAGCGCGGAGCTGCATTTTTTAACGTTGTACTGAAGTACCTCCGGTTGTATGGAAGACACGCGCCGTCGAACGTACTGACAACACTTCTCTCGGTTTTACCGCACTCCCGCGCCGAGCGGCGCGACGAACCGCAGGGTTATAGCACACTGCGCTCCGCACTACCGCGCAGATTTTTAAGCGTAAGGGAGTGTTCAGCTTTCTACAGTGGATGGAGTATATTTGCTATTGAAAATCGACCAAATATACCTTCATATTTTCTTAAATCTTTGTAATGAAGTTAAAATTATCCATTTATCGATGAGCCCCCGTAGCATGGCCACACATGATACTCGTGACGCGCGCGATAAAACTGAAATAAACGCGCGCTATTGGCTATCTAAATTAGATCTGATCGAGAGAGAGATGATAGAGAGAGAGAGATACGGGGGCTTTCCTAAAAAGGGATGTATCCAATATCTTCGGTGTCTTTTTATTTGAGTAAACAAAAACCAAATCGACAGTATAACTGCAGCGTCTTGAATGAGTTCTGTATTATTAACCATTCTTGTCAAAGAAGGATCTCGGCTACAAGTACAATCACTACAGCGATCAACTAGAAAGGGAGCACATAAGTGGCGCGGGGCCGCTAAACCGCTGCCCCCGCGCGGATTAAACCGCGCGTTGACGGAGACGCAATCTGCGTGATTCTGTCGCGGTGCAGTGTGTTAATCGCCTTACGTGCAAAATTGAAAGTCGTAGCCGTTGAAATAACAAAGTAATATTAACGTTATGACCTTTTCCTGTCGTAATTTGGTTTAGTGTAGGTACGCGCTTTTTACCAATACTACATACGCGGATTTGTACAATCCCCGACGATAATAATACGTCATTTGTAATAAATATTGTAAATAAGAAAAAATTGTAAAAATTTACTTAGAAAATACAACCCTTAGATTTTCCTTAATTATTCTTCTGCTTTACGAATGAATTGTGGAGTTTAATCAATGTAACGATTTCTATTGTAATTTGCTTACGTATGACAAAAAGATATTTTCTGGTAAGTTTTTTGTACTCAATTTTGTTGACAATTTTTAGTATTTAATTACTCGAATATATCATCGTGAAATATTAAATAATATTTCAGGTTACCACACTCGAATATTAAATAATACTTCATGATGTTATTCTATTAATATTCAAATAAAAAGAAATTGTCACCAAAATTGAGTACAAAAAACTTACCTGAAAATTACAATTGCATTTTACTTGATGCAATTTAGAATTTAATATACGTAAGGCACATGTCAGCTCGTTATCCAGGCCTCTGATTGGTGAACATGTTTTTAACATGCAGCTTCAATTGCGATTCATTTCTTATACGATTTGATTTTCATTTCCCTTCAATGTTAAAGCAAGTACAAGTTACGTTAATTACCACTGCCCCCGTAGTATGCTGCCTCGATAAAACTGTTATATCCACCTTTAGCTGACAATTTTATCACAATAGTTATGGCGAGCACCGTGACGTCACATTATCATGTCATCGCGAGTTTATCGACGTAAAAAATTGAGCGCGACAAACGACATGAAAAGAAATAATAAAAACAAACAAATTTATATACAGGTATAAATTATTCGAAAAAGGCAAGAAATTTTTTTTAATATTGTTCAATACCTAATATAATGTAAAATGTGTAAGGCAGAAACTACAAAAACACGACAGTTTTGTTTCATCGACAAAGATAGCTATATGCGCAATTACATATCGTTGCCCTGGTTCTTCAAAATTTATAACAATAGTTCATTATCAAATACGCAAACTTCGCTTTAACAACTAAAATAAATATTATCACGGGGGGGTTTATCACATATATACTGCGATGCTACGGTCACTGGTCCTACATAAAACAAAACCATTGATACTTGCTGTAGCCGGCGTGCGTAGCGATGCCACTGAAAGTGAAAACTGATGTTGGCTGTCTTTTTCGACTGTAGACACATTTGTTGTAACAAAAGAAAGCCACACGGTGAAATGCATCTGCAAAAGAATCGCTTTTTCGGCTACAGACACAGTTAAAACAACTTGCCCACTTGATAATTTTAGATTTGTTCAGATTAAGCTCTGCTGCATACGCAGTCCGTAGAATACGTGAGCTTACCAATGTTGCTATTGCTAAACTGTTTACTTTAGTTACTTTCATAGTATAATGTCCTACGGGATTGTCATGTGGGGTAAAGCGGCAGATATACAAACCATTTATTTGTGTTGCAATAACGAGCGATTCGTTGTGTGTACCGTTTAGGTTCTCGGGTTTCTCTCAGAGAAAAGTTTAAAGAGACTGGTATCATGACTGTGGCATCACAGTACATTTACTCAAATATTTTGCATGCCCGTAAAAATATACATAATTTCATTAAGAAAGAAGATATCCATAATATTAACCTTAGAACTAAGTCCAAACTCATGGTACCACGATTTCGCTTAACTAAGGTAAACGATTATTTTATAGGGAACTGCATACGTTTTTTAAATAAGATTCCGGAGCATATATTAAGATTATCATTTCCTAAGTTTAAAACTTACATTAAAAGGAAGTTAATTTTAAAGTCATATTAGAAAACTAAATAGTATGTTTTAGATAAAGAATTATGGAAAGACAACGTGACTCTAGATTCCACACAATTATGATTCAAAGTGTAGTAAAGTTTATTTGAAAAGAGCAATCCCTAGTCTCTTGGTCGTTCTTCTCAGTGAGGTCAACGTAGTGAACGCGCAGTAGTTTAAAAAATGACGTTTCCAAGTGTAAAACTTTTACCTATGGAATAAATGATTACTTGATTTTGACTTTAGTGATTTTAAAAAATCTTGGACAACCTAAAAGCAATAGAACGTATACGGGACATCAATGTCACTATATTATAATTATAAAACATAATGTTAGGCGCAATATAATCATCATTGATTTAAACAATAATAGTTTCTATAAAAAAAAACCAACAAAATAATAATAATAATAATAATATCGTTTATTAAAGACAACAAGGCCCACTTTGTATTAGTAACAGACTTATAAACTATGTTAGTAAATTATTTCTAACTTAGATCTAGTACAATTTATGAGGTGCCTCATTAGAGGCCCCTCCACTCTATCAGCAATCATTTTGAGGATGCTGTTGCCACTGTTGCGAAGTCTGTTCAGCAGAGAAGCTGATTTCTTTCTTATAATTGCTGCGAAAGAATACGTCCGCGCCTCAGCAAACATGGAAGAAGCGCTACAGAACTTCGGCAGACGCAACAGCATCCTAAAAGCATTGTTGTATTGGGTGCGGAGAGCAATGTACGACTTTTGCGTGTGCCTATTCCATAGGCTGCCCGCGTAAAAAGATGTACAATAGGCTTTGAAAAGAGTTACCTTAACTTCAGCAGAGCATCGAGCAAACCTGTGAACCAGCATATTCGCTCTTACTGACAAAGCTCTCCGCTCCCTTTCCATATCATTATCATCTTTGAGATCAGGCCTAACGACATGTCCCAAATACTTAAAATTATGCACTCTGTCCAGAACAATCCCTTTTAGAGTGATCGGTGGAACATCCACAGGACATTTACGTCCTGCTGGAAATACCATGACCACAGACTTTTTTACATTATAAACCAGACCGTGTGACGCGGCATATGACTCACAGACTGCCACGAGTTTCCTTAATGCGCCAACTGACGGAGCCAACAGCACCATGTCGTCTGCGTAGCTTAAATTATTTACGCAGACATCATCCACGTAGCAACCCATGCGCATGAAACTGAGTTGCGCAATCAAGTCATTTATGTACAGATTGAAAAGCCTGGGCGAAGTCAGTCCGCCCTGTCTTACCCCGCATTCCAACCAATATTGCTCTGAGAGTCTGTCAGCCCATCTCACAGTGTTGATCTGGTTATCATACCAATACAATACACAACAAAATATTGCCAAAATAAAATTAAAACTTATTTGAAAGAAATGGGGTACTTCTCAGGAAATTTTTATTATTGAAATATTTTAGAATATTATCCTGGAGTATTACTCTTAAGATACACGCCTGTTGATAACAATTGCAGTGGCACTCAGAGCTTTAAATTGCAAAGATGGGCACTGCCACTGCGCCCGTCACCTTGAGACACAAGTTGACAAGACCCATGTGCCTGTAATTTCACCAGCACCCTTACCCTTCAAAACCGGTAACACAGTAATGCTGACATTACTGCTTGGCGGCAGAAATAGGTAATATTCCGAAATATTACTTAAATAATATTCACACACACATACATATAAATGCATTTTATATTTATCCATATTTATATATTAGCATATTTATCCTCTAAACAAGTTTGAATGTAAGAACGTGGTCACTAAAAGGCTATTGACTTTGTCTTATGAGGAAACCGAAAACCTCCTTCATGTTCCATTATAGTTAATTCCCACACAAACACACACTCTCACACATACACAATAAAATACTTGCCCTCTAGTCTTGAATTTTATTTATATTTATAATTTTTTGATTTGTATAAACCAAATTTTGAGTAACTTTCTCTCATAGCAATCATTCGTGACGCAGTTAATGTTTTATTGATACTTTATCCGTAGGCGGAGGCCTGGAGACCTATAGCACAGGGTATCCTAGTTTAGGCTCCAGCCTTCACACAAACAAATGTTTTATTACTTAAGAATGTTTAATTATGGTTGATTATATATATATATATATATATAATATTTAGTACATATAAATACAGGCCCAGATGTTGACGCACTTACAACAAAACATACTAACAATCGTTTTCCAATGTATTTATAGTTAATTTGACAACAGTTAATGTTCATTTTGCTTACTTGGTAACTACATAAGGACACATATCCTTTTGTCTTATGCTTATGTAAACGTGTCTTCCTCTCTTATGCCTATCTTTCTTGCATCTGCTTGTAAGGGTGAGAGCCTGGTGCTCTATAACACAGGTTAATCCTAGTATGGACACCAGACTTTCACACAGGCATATAAGTTTCTTTTGTGAAGGTAATAAAGACATTTTCATTTTCAATATTTGACGACTGGTCGTGGTCTGATGGTGACAAATGGTCAAATATCCGTTTTAAATAGCGCAAAATAGAGCACAACATTATCTTTTAAAAACAGTTAAAATTAGTTAACGTGTTTGACTTATCGGAACTTACCCTAACGACGCATAGACAGAAACATCATTAAACAATGTCAATATCCTAAAAAATATTTTTGTCATTTAGCCCCGTTAGTTAGCGGATGGCATACTCGAATACCTAAATAATAAAAATTGCCCAATAAAAGGGCCGAATTTGGACTTCACATACGTAAAAATAAAGACCGATAAGAGGACTCCGGATATTTCTTTGCAGCTGTGCACTGACCATATAGCATAGCCAATGTAGAGGGATAAGACTGCCAGTATTTAGATGTGTTATACCGAGGGGACTTAATTCATCCTATTAAATGTTATTCAGCCTTAGATTGAATTTCCTAACGCGTCTTAATGCTTTTAGTTTTACAAACTTTAAAAAAAAATTGACACATAACATTACGTTTTTGGGTTATCAATATCTTTTTCTAATTGGTTCTAACATAAAAACATGAAAAAAACCATTATTTCATTTATTTCTTTCGTTTTTGTGGTCAGGATAACGAAAAGTCCAAATTTACGTACCATAACGAAAACGTACAAATTTTTGGGTTTCCCTACATTTAAAGACAATTCTATAATTGATGACAAAATAGCCTATCTGTAGATTTGCAAGATCGTGTAAGTACTTCTATGTAGCTATGTAAAGCTGTGGCAGCCACAAAAACAAGGTTTTTGGGGTATGGCTACTATTTTCCAAAACCAACCGAAACTGTCAAACCAGAAACGGAACCTTTTTGAAATTTGTTACATAGTTGTAAAAGAAATTTGAAAATAATTAATAACGAAACAAAAATTATCTAAATATAGGTATTTATAGAACAAATAAAACTAACATTTCGGGCCCTTTAAAGGTCCCATGTGTTAGCAAAAACTATTGTTTAATCTATTATTTACTTTAAAATGCTCATCACTACTTACAAGAATTACTAAATTTGGAAAATTAGTTGTCAATTTCGTTAGGATGGGGAATTTAAAAAATAAAAATGACAACACTGGGTGTGACGGCAAGTCATCGGACGGGTTCGTGTTATTAAAAATTAAAGTCTGCAGAGATCATTCATTGGTTCTTTCTTATACCGAATCTATTGGATAAGTTAACACATGGTTACGGCACGCAATTCAGATCCTAGTTTATTTTTCTATAAAAAAAAAAACAGTACAGTAATACTAAACGCCTACAATTTGCATAAATCTTGGGAACTCTATTTTAATATAATAATAAAGATGCTTTTTCTACGACGATTATGATTTCCAGACCTCGTAATTCCTTATAAAAACAATATTTAAAATAATATTTCTTTTCTTGAATACCATGATGTTTTTACTACCATGATATTCATTTATTTTTTGTGAAAATACACAACTACTTTGTTATCATTATTAATACGTAGACCGAACAAATACAAAGAAAAGTAGCTTCGATCCGATTGGACTGTTATTTAAAATACCTAAACCAAAAAGCGAAAAATCAATACGAAAACCAAGATGGCCGTCCGAAAAGCGCGGGAAAGGCATTTCATTAAAATAAAAGAACAAGTAATAGAAGAAAAAGATTAATGTTTGGCCTCCACAATACGTAATAAATTATAATGGTATGAATTTAGGGAGCTACCCTTGTCCGCCATTTTGAAACGAGCCGGCCCTTTATTGGCCCGCTCGCTCGCGATCAATAATATTCTTATTTCAAACTAAAAGGACGTTACTACGTGATCCTTTTCATGTTGAATCCGACTCTATTCATGAAGTGTTAGGGTTCGCTTTGGTAGTTCAACTTTGTTAGGTTACTTTCGGAGGGTGGAAGGTTAATCTATTTCGAAGAAAAATATATTTTTAACCGGCTAAAATAAAGGAGGAGGTTCTCAATTCGACGTAATAAAAAGTAAGTACATAATGTATATTCTCGCGCTGATCACGCCCTATTGTTACGCTGAAAACTCACACTGCTGAACACGGGTCTCCGCTAGTGAAAGGATTTTAGGCCATAGACTGTCACGCTAGGACTTCACGCGTTTTCTAAGGGTTTATGAATCTTCTTTGACGATAGGGTGTCATCACTATAGTTTTCGCTCCTGAATGTGAATTAGGTAGGTACTTTGGAAATGTAGCCTTGGCAACAGTGTAGTGAGAGGTACTATTTAATATTAAACGAGGAATATTAACCAAAGTTCCTTAGACAACCACCCTCTTTTTTATCTAGTTCTAAATACAAAACCACCCTCTTATTTTTAGGCAATTCTAAATATAATATAATTATATATATAGTTCTTAGATTTTCGCGATTGGTACACATTATTATCAGTCAACCGTGACCATGGGACCTGTAAAGGGCCCGAAACGTCGGTTTATTTGAAAAAACAAATATACGCCATTCAATACCGGAAAAATAGTTTCATTTCCTATAATAATATATCTAATCTATCCAGCCTGCGCTACAGTACCATTGTCGATCTCCTAGTCTTTGAACAGGTTTCGGACTTGGGTGGAGTAAAGAATTATTTTTTCAGATAATATATTTCATATGTAGGTTTATTTATAAAGGTTTTGTGCCACAAGTCACACAGCCATCAAAACAATGAATTTATTGCAAACCAAGTTTCCCGATCGCATAATTTCACGAAATTAAGCCGTTAAGTGGGTAGCTCGATCATGTGATTTAAAAACGCTGGATTCTTTTTTATGGGGTCATGTTAAAGACAGAGTCTGTACGGAGCCAAAAGAATCGATTGCAGCCTTAAAACTCAAAATTCGTGAAGTCATTAACGAAATAGAACCACCACTTTGTCAAAAAGTGATTAAAAACTTTGATGAAAGAATCGACATCTATAATTGTGGTGGACATTTATCAGATATCATTTTTCATTCAAAATTGCCAAACCTTACTTTTTTAATACAATATTAATTTGAATCATTGGCATCTAAATGTATTGTTTCATTTTGATTTACAAAACAAAGTTCTTGTTGAAAAACCCTTTATATACCAAGTGACGGGACGAGCAAGTCGTGCGCCTGATGGTAAGCGACACGCCTGCCCATAGCAGTTGTAGTGCCACTCAGAGCTTTAAAGCACAAAGCTCTGAGGGGCATTGCCACTGCGCCCGTCACCCTGAGACATAGGTTAAGTCTCATGTGCCTGTAATTTCACCAGCACCCTTACCCTTCTAAACCGGAACACATTAATGCTGACATTACTGCTTGGCGGCAGAAATAGGTAAGGTGGCAGTACTATCCTGGACAAACTCTTTCTACTGCTCCTGCTGTATCTAGACTGGTGTGCGTGAACATCAGCAGCTCATTACTTTTTGATATAGTGTATAATTTTTGTATTCGTTTCATTTTTTTTAGACGTTTAGTTTTACTTCTTAATTGTAACTTTGTAAAAGAGACTGGCAGTGCCCCTCGGATCTTTCAGCTCTGAGTGCCACTGCCACCACTACAGGCGTGATGTATAAAAATGCATTATATTTATATACTGTATACTTATTTGGAAGTTATTTAAATTACAATTTTGACGTCTAGTTATATTTTACAATTATTAACTAGATACAAGCCACAAAAAATCCTACAGTTGTCATATTAAATTTAAATTAAATAGGACTTCGTTCATCAAAGACACATACTCAGAAAGTGTTGCAAAAGTAAAAAAAAATTTTATGGGAATTATTTTTCTTATTACATGCTTTCGTAGAACTTTCTAACACTGCCTACGCAAAGTTTCAAGCGTCTGCACCAATTTTCGGAACA